AAAAGTAATCAAGTTCTTTTTCTTCAACTAAGCATTCAGTGAGCTAGTTTAAACATGATTTTTATCTGATTTGAAAGTTCCTTCCTTCCTTCCTTCCTTCCTTCCTTCCTTCCTTCCTTCCTTCCTTCCTTCCTTCCTTCTTTCCTTGAATATCAAGCCTTGAGAGAAAGAGTAAAAAAATAAATATGCAAGCTGGTGATCAGGTCTTGGAATTAAGCATATAGAAACTATTTATTTTACAGACAGGGATAATAAGACACAAAATACTTGTTCTGATATTCTTTGTATTTTAAGAAATCATCTAAGCTTTAGCTAATTTAAATTTTCTCTTTCTTAATGTTCATCCTGCTGGGATTTTTTAGGAAGAAACCAGTTATTGTTTGTGATATAAGAGTTCACTAGAAACTAAACGAGTTATCAGTGGAGGATTTAGAACAAATCCTATTACATCTGTTGAATTGCTAATACGCTTATTAAAAGTAAAACTATGAGTTTAGCATGTATTCCTCCTTAGGAGGTATTTTACATGCAATTACCATTTCTGTGATCAAATATCAGATGAAAAATGAATGAATTTTTAGGAATATTTAAAACCACATTAGAAAAACAAAGATAATCTGGAAGTAATGATCATTAAATAAAGCAGACTGGTTTTGGCTAAGCTATATCTCAAAATGCACATAGAGTAAGTTATTAAATAAATCTAAGTCAAGACACAAAAACAGATCCCAGAGTGTATAGCTTGGGAGTTGGCACATATAGAAAAGCTACAACATACTACAGAAATTTAGGCATTACGAGTTAAAGTAAAAGTGGGGCAGAGGTGGTATTCAGCAGGTTCCGACCAGTTCTGAAGAACTGGTAGCGGAAATTTTGAGTAGTTCAGAGATACCACCTCTGACTGGCCCTGCCCCCATCTACTATCTGCCTCTCAAGTCCCAGCTGATTGGGAGGAAGTGGGGATTTTGCAGTAACCTTCCTCTGGAGTGGGGAGTGAATAAAGATTTCATAGTATCCTTCCCCTGCCAGTGACGTGCAGTCAGGGGAGGCAGGAGAGGCAGGGCCTCACCACTGTCATCATGAAAAGAAAAAAAATAAAAGGAAAAAGGTTGAGGTAGTTGCTGCCAGAGTCACAGTGGATGACTCTGCTTAGTGCTTAACTGTTTTAAAAAGCCTCAAAAAAAGTGCCCTCTGCAGGAGGATGCGAGAGAACCACGCGCCTCATTCAGTCTAGCTTTATGATCACTTGAGCAGAGTTAAGCAAGGGTTAAAAGCTGAAAAATTCCTTATTTAGATGAGGCACATGGTTCTCTTGCCTCCTCCTGTAGAGGGCATTTTTTAGAGGCTTTTTTTAAACAGTTAAGCAGAGTCATCCATTGGGGGCGCTGGCAGCAGCTAAGCCAGCCTGACCTCAGCAGCTCTTGCCTTTTTCTTTTTACGTTTTTTACATTTTCATCATGTCAGACAAGAGCAGAGTTGAAATCCTCTGTGACACATCTGGAAAAGGTATGTGGATCGGAGGGAGGGGGGAGGAATTCAAAATTATAATTTGTAAGTAACTTTTTATTGTAAGTAATTTGTGTGTGTGTGTTTGTTTGTTTCTTCACTTCACTCAAACAAACTCTCTCTCAATTTGAGAGAGAGTTTGTTTGAGAAGAGAGGGGCAGCCTTGTTTGAGAAGAGAGGGGCAGCCTTGTTTGAGAAGAGAGGGGCAGCCTGCAAGCACAGGCGGGTATTTTACCTGCCTCTGGTGGTGAGCTTGCGCATTCTTTCTTTTGCCCGTTGTGCCCCCCTTCCCTTTCTCCTCTCCCCCCACCGGGAGCCCTGTCCTGCTCCCCTTCCCCTTTCTTCCTTCTCTCCCCTTTCTTCGCTGGCTGCAACTGAGCGAGGAGGCACCGTGGGGCCAGGTCCCTCACACCCGCATCCAGCCTGCTGGAGCTTGCCGCACTGTGGAAGGAATGAGACCCTGTTGTCCCGCAGAGCCTGCTGCCGCTTGAGCGGGGAGGAGGAGGAGGAGGAGGAGAAGAACGGTGAGGGTTTGTGCTGTCCGGCCAGCCAGGTGGGGAGTAGGTTGGGCGGGAGGTGGGTGGGATAGCTGGCTGGGGAGGGGGGATCATGGCCGCTCAGGTAACCCCCGAAGCCCCACCGAAGCCCCGCCACTGTGTCCGCCATACAAGCAGGACATGTCCCGCTCTATGGTGGACATGGCGCCGGGACTTTAAAGCCCTGCCACTTTGTCCACCATACAGCGGGACGCGTCCCACTCTATGGCAGACACAGCGCTGGGACTTTAAAGCCCTGCCGCAAAGTCCCGGCACCATGTCTGCCATAGAGCAGATGCATCCCCCTCTATGGTGGACATTGCGGCAGGGCTTTAAAGTCCCAGCGCCGTGTCCGCCCTAGAGCGGAACGCATCAGGGCTTAGGGGGTGGCTTTCTGAAAGCCCCGCTGAAGCCACAGTGGTGGCAGACATAGGGCAGCAGACATAGAGCGACTCTTGCCCACTTGCCTCACTGGCCATAAATCTCACCGCACGTCACTGTCCCCTGCTATGCCCGCCAAGCCATGAAACACCCATCAACCCACGCCCACAGAACCAGTAGTAAAAAAAATTGAATCCCATCACTGAAGTGGGATTTTAAAAAAATCCACTAAGACAAATGTTTAACTCCTGTGTGTCTGTCTCTGTCTCTCTCTCACTCTCACTCACTCTCTCTCCTATCTCACCTCTCCTTTAATGAAACTCAAGATGGCAAACTTATCTAATGCTCCTTCCTCCTCCAATTGTTCCCACAACAACAACCCCGTGAGGTGAGGGAGATTGGCCCATGGTCACTCAGCTGGCTTTCATGGCTAATTTGTCACTAAAACATACCATGCCCTGGTTCCTGGCCTTGTTCCTTAAGCACAAAACCAATCTGGCTCAGTGAATGGATTATAATGGATAACAGATCTCAGAAATCATTTTTCTTTTAAAGTAGATCTCATGATCCAAATTTTATCATATGAGAAACAACCAAGAAATGTAGACACCATTATCATTCTCAGTAAAAAAAAAAAAAAGAACATCCAAGTATCAGTACTGAAAGAATGTCCCCGTTTTCCTAACACTTAAGGAAGTACTTCTTCACATTTAAATCATTGTCCAGTTTACAGCCACAAATCAAAATTTAAACATTAGATTTTAAAGAATTCTACATTTCTACTTTTCTGAAGAAGGCCACATAATTAAGGAATTGTAATGTACAGTCTATAGACACCATGGCATATATGTGGGGCCAGTAGCATTCATGTTTTCCCTGCTCAAACATTAATATTATAATTTTTTGATATTTACATTTGCTAATTATTTTGAAGCCTCTCAAGATTTGCTGAAATAATAACAAAATGCTTTAGAAAATGTTTGACTAAGTATTTCCATTCCATACCTACCTTTCAGCTTGTCAAAAATAGTCTCAGTGGCTTTACTTTATAGAAAAACACTATTCTTATTAAAATAATGTGAGAATCTAACTGGATTTTAAAAGCATTTGTTATATATCCAATAAATAGAAATTTAAATCCCTAATCTCCTTTAATACCAACATCTTTAGTGTTTACACTTTGGAATGAACAGGTTCTTTTAACCTATATTTAATGAATATTACTACAATTCTTTTATAAGTAAAAGATTTTGGATTTGAACATAGTGATTTTTGTTGTAACATATGACAAACATTTAAAATTTATCATAGTAATTTAAAAAATTGACCATGAAGATAATTCATATATATCTATTAGAATTTGTCTAAATTATGTTGGCAGGAATTGAAACATAGCTCATCCTCTTTGATAGCAATCTACATTTAATACTTCTGTTGTTTAAATAACTGGAAAAGTCACCTAATAATGTTTTACAACTATTTGTACTGTTTGTTTACTATAGGTAAAGGTTCCCCTCGCGCATATGTGCTAGTCGTTCCAGACTCTAGGGGGCGGTACTCATCTCCATTTCAAAGCCAAAGAACCAGCAGTGTCCGAAAATGTCTCTGTGGTCATGTGGCTGGCATGACTAAATACCAAAGGCGCATGGAACGCTGTTACCTTCCCAGCAAAGGTGGTTCCTATTTTTCTACTTGCATTTTTTAGGTGCTTTCAAACTGTTAGATTGGCAGTAGCTGGGACGAATAATGAGAGCTCATTCCATTACGCAGAGTAAGCGTAACGGAGTAAGATTCAAACTGCCGAACTGCAAATCTTTCTGATCGACAAGCTCATCATCTTAGCCACTAAGCCACCACATCCCTCTTGTTTACTATACATTAAAGCAAATAAAATCGATGTGTGACATCAGAAATGAATTCCTTTCCTGAATTTTAATTGCCGTCTATAACTACAAAACACTAGGAAATGTTAATGTACCTTTTTATTGAATCAGTTGAGTGTAAAGGTGTGGAAAATTGCTTTGGCATAGAAATTAATAAAACCTAGAATTTTGAAAATCCTACATTTATTCAATATATTTTCCAAAGAGATAACTTTGTCTATACAAGTACAATTCTGCAAAAAAAATGCTAAATAAATATGTTTTATTTCTCAGTGTGAAAAATTACAGCAAGATTCTATACCCTATTTATGTTCTTAACATGAATAATTATGTGGAGCCAGCTGCACTCAGAATTCCCCATTCCATTCAGATTTCTCTATGCCAATGCTATGAAGTAAGCATGTACTGAACGCATTAACATGAGTTTATATTACAACTATTATCAAGAGTTCATTCTCGGTGGGAACTATAATCAGCAACCTTCAGATATCAATTTTTATCATGAAAGGTAATCCTTCAACAGAATTACAAAACGAAAACATATACCTCTCTGGAAAATTACAAGGTTTACAGCACTTAAAAACCACCTCAGCTGCCTAGGATCGGAGTCTAACAACAGCACTTGCAGTACAACTTGGTAATTGAATCACATTAACAGTACAGCAAAAATAAGTATCAGTGTGCAGAGTCTTACTTTAACTTCCACCGTCTTCCCATTGCGGTCAATATGCCTCTCAAGATATTCTGAAGACAGTAGATCACTGAAACAATAGGAAAAAAATATTTATTTATTTATCAAATCTATATGCCTCTCATCTCACGAGAAAAATTATACACACACAGTTATTTTCCACTATATCTCTGTGCTAACCACCTAGTAAAAAGTACCATTTGTGAATAAACCTGATAGAAACTATTTTTTTAGGTATGTTCATATATATGCTAAAAATACTTGGCAGGTAAATCCACTAAGCCTCTCTTTCACATGCAATATTTTTTCTCATTACAACGTATACAACATCTACACTTAAGGATAACTCGGTTGCTTTTATATAAGCCCTCTTCTCAAATAAAATATAAAATTTATTATACAATATTGATTCCATGACTGCTATCACTGTCTCACAAACAGTATTATCTAGAAATCAGTTTGCCAAAAAAATGTATTACTTTTTTCTAAATATGATAAAGCAAACAACATGCATCAGAACTCATTTCTTTTTGCTTTTGTCATTTTAATCCTCTTGTATGTATTAACACATTATGAAACATTTCTGCACAATATCATCTTTATTTCAAATATTCTCTCATAGTTACTAAGGTGATTAGCTCCGTGGAAGTAAGCATTTTGGTCACGAGGGATTCTGGCATGTTATAAATCAGAGATGGCAAATTTGTGGCGTCAGGGTGGCATCACATGACGTATTGCAACGTTTTTCCCCTTCATTAAACCATGCATTGGCATGGCCACAGTGTGATGCATCTAGCCCACAAGTCATGAGCTTGACAGCCCTTTTAAAAATATTCCTAAAACCTTAAAAGGTGATAAGAGTTCAGGGCACAGACATAGTGAGTTTCTCAAAATCCCTAGCATAATTCTCATGGACATCAGGAGGCATGCTTTTCGACCCTTTTGAAACTCAAAGTATCTGTTGTAAGATTGAAATACTTCTCAAATATTCAGAACTCAGAGTTTTTCAAATTCAAAATTGAGTATTTTGAGCAGAAATGTCTTAATTTGAAACTCTATGCATCTCCTAAATATTAGCAAGTTTTCAGGGCATCCTACCTTCTGACTTAAGAGCATGTGTCATGTGTATATAAGCAATTTCATACAATATCCATGTGCTACAAGAAAGCGGGCATTTTTGAAAGGAAATACACTCTTTATTTTTAAAATTATTCCTAGGTTCCACAGAGAGAAAATTGCCTGGAAATGCTTTTCACAGCCATGATTGGTGCAATCAACACCTCTTTTGTGAATGTGAAGCACACTTCACCCAAGAATCATCCTGACATTTAATCTAACATCACTTAAGGTAAAAAGCATGTTTAAAAAATCAGATTTCTAGAACCTTTTAATGCAATGCATAACATTTCATTAATTTTTATAAGTGGCTGGACAAACAACAGTACAATATTTGTTTTGAAGAACTCTGAACCTAGATATACACATAATTCATTAAACCTGATGGGCAGCTTGATAAAATTTTAAGCAAATAATACACAAATATTAACTCAGTTGTTATATAGCATGATGGAGCTGGGTACATACACTGATACACCACAAAAACAGTCTAAAGCACTCAAGACATTTAAAATACACATTAAATTGTGACCAATTACCAATCTAATGCCAATGATTCCTTCTTATTACATAATTTTTTGCAATATTATATATAACAAAGTCCTTTTTAATCTGACAGTAAGGGGAAAACATAAAATCATCCTGAATGAATTGAACAATGCAACAGATAAGCAGCAACATAACTGGTGTGGTGATTTATACAAATGTTACAGTAAATAAAACATGAGCATAATAAGATAGTTCGACCCTATGGTAAAGACACCAGTGTAAGAACCAGAAAACCTTAAGCATAAAATCATGTGGAAAACTTGAGCCAATCAGTCTCTCCCAGCCCTATGAAAACAGCAATGGAAAACCACTTTGAAAAATATTGTCAAGGAACTGCCTGGATTTATTCAGGCAGTTCCAGGCAATTAAGTCATAGTTTAAATTCTGCTTTCTGTGACTGCTAATAGCAGCACACCAGTTATACTTTTTCTGCCTTTTCTGTCTTTGGGGAATAAAGAAAATAGCTAGCAGGTTTTATTACAGAATTTCCTATTTTTTAAATAGAATTCACAAAATGCATGGGGGGAGGAGTAGCTAGAAAACTTTGATTCTACTATATCTATAACTCTACTCTCACCTTTTTTGTAACTGTTATCTCACTGCAGATCTCACTGTCCTTTAAAATATTAATGCCCTTGGCCTTGGGTCAACAAAATACTGTCCATTGTAGTTTCTACTATTGCTAGTATGAATAAATCTTTGAGGACTAAGAACATACAGTCCTTGAGTTACAACAGTATTTGGGATCAGAATTTCCACTGCTAAGCAATATGATCATAATGTGCAAGTCACATCACCACACTGATTAACAATGTCAATCCCAATGTGTCATTGTATTATGTTGCTAAATGAATTCTACCATTTGTTAGGTGGGGACCCAAGCTATCCTTGGCTTGGTCCTGTCCATCTACAATGCTCGGTAAGATAAGGAATTGCCTTCTCTTCAAGTCTCCCTACCCACCTATTTCCCAACCTTGTCTCTTTCGTTGCCAGCCTTCTACTGCCACCAGCTTCTCCTGCTGCCCAGGTGCCCACCACCACACCATGCAACAATATTGTACTGGTAAGCACTTTCTTTTGTGCCTCTTCCTTCACACTGATGCAGCCAGGGTTTGTCTTGCACCTTGTCCTCCAAATTGAGGCCTTGGCCTTGCACTGACACAAAGAGGGGCCCAGTCAGCACTGTAATGGTATGCAGTGTCATGGCCATGGCCACTGTGACAATGGGCAGGATCAGCTGGCAACAGTGAGAAGAAGAGCAGTCAAAAGGCAGTTTAAGTGCAGGTGAGTTCAAATGCGCTAAACATGAGCACACAGGGACACTACAACAGTCAGAACTTCAAGATGGCCCTAAGTCTCTTTGTTCAGCACTGTTGTAATTTCAAATGTTTGCTGAACAAATGGATATTAAGTGATGATTATCTGTACTTTCTTATTTTTGTTACAACTGCTTTCTGGAAATTGTTATCCATTCTGTTTATCAAGGAATTGGTGATTTAACTTGCTCCAACCACTGAATCATATTAATGATCTAGATAACTAGAAAATGGCAAGATAACTTAGCTTAAAGTTATCTCATTTGGTCTACAGATTAAACCAATGAGATAGAAATCAGGAGACTGAAAGTTGTATCCCACCTTGGGCACAAAGCTGGCTAGGTGACTTTGGCTGATTTACACCTTCTAAATCCTAGAAAGGAGACAATGGCAAGCCACTTCTGAACTATCTAACTCAATCCAAGAGCTGGCTGGACAGAATCAATTAGTCAGAGACTAATTACAGGTAGCTAAATTTCTTTGTAGTTGTTAATGTATATTAAATATTCATCAGTTGCCGGACTACAATATTTAAAAATAAATTCTTGATACATCATCATCACTCTCATCAAGAAAGAGGAAAGGACATATTTTTTTTCTTCCTCAGAAGAACCAGAGAAGTTTTTTTAAAGAGCTAAAATACAGGAATAATTCTCAGTAGAATAGTTCTCCGTGAGCAAAGCTTTTTTATGATTTTCAACAACTCCACGAGCAAAGCTTTCTTTGTGATTTTCCACAACTGAAAGGCAGAGGATGAGACAATCCTACAGCACAGCTGCTAAAGAGATGAGGAACTAGGCAGAAAACATGTTTAAGAATAAAATACACCTGTGGTTTAGTATCTTCTTTGAAACATAAACCCACTCTCTGGATAAAAATGATGGCACACAAAACAATATACAATTAGGTTCCAAAGAGTATTTTATAGCAAACACATGTGCACTTGACTTTTTACAAGGGAAGTCATAAATGTTAATAATATCCAGAGCACTATTATGTCTGAGTTCTTGCTTAAAGCCATAGTTTAATGTATTATTATATTACTTATAATTTTATTTTGAAGCTTCATCAGTGCATTCCAAGTTCTGAATTGAACTGAAGCAATATAAGTCATTTCTTATATATTATGTTTGCCAATACATATGTTGTTATTCATAATATGAATTCTTAAAATGGTTATTATTTCTTTAAAATTACATATGTATGTATCTATCTATAGCCACACATTGCTCAACAAAACGTTTTCTTCTTTCAATTATTTTTGGTTTTTATCAATGGTTTAATTTTTAGAACATAAATACAGAGATTGATAATATAGTAAAATAAAAAATGCCTCCAGAAAACTCTTTGGAGTGGCTCCAAAAATTTTCACCAAAACAAAACCAACAACTTCTCAGCTAATTCGATAAGCCAAAATAGAATTTTCTTCCTGCATTAACTGAGAAAGCTCAGACTTTCCAAGGAGCTGCTGATGCAGTTTTACAGAGGAATTATTGAGTTTGTCATTTGTACCTAAATAACTGCCTGGTTTGACACAGCAACAAAATAGAACAGGTACAGATTTCAATGGATAGTTAGGATTGCAGAAAAAATATTACCAGTCTGCTTTCCACTGAGGATCAGTATACTGCCTGAACCAGAAAGAGGGCTGAGAAAATATCTGCAGACCTCTCATAATCTATTTCGATTTCACCCCTTAGAATGCTGCTGTAGAGCATTGCATGCCAAAACAACTACCACAAAGGTAGTTTGTTCCCCTGTCCCATCACTCTGCTGAACAATCAATTCCCACAGGACTTCTCATCTTTCTCATCTTCTCATCTTTCCTACTGCCTTCTCTTATTGGTTTCTTGTGATTCATCAATTGTTGTTTGTAATGATTAACGATTGTAACTATGATTTACGATCTATGATGATTACTTGTTGTTTATATGTACAGTATGAGTTTATGCACCAGAGACAAATTCCGTGTGTGTCTAATCACACTTGACCAATAAAGAATTGAATTTATTCTATTCTATTCCATTCCATTCTATTAAGATGAATTGCTAAATTCCAACATGGAGAGGGGAATTGAACTGATCTTAATTATCCAACCACAAACCCCCAGAACAAGGCCACAAGATCTTGAGCAGCTGCCCATCAATCATTTATAGGCATACATTTAATTAGGAAGAACCAAAAGCAAGAAGTCTGACTGAAGAAATCTCAAAGCAAGAAAGCAATTGTCAAAATACCTAAACACATCTTATTATGTGGCCAAGGGCATCTACAGACTGAGTCAAAATGATAAATGACAAAAGCTGGGTGCAACATACTGTGCCCATTTTTTGTCTGTTAGATACAAATTAAAAAGGGCTGGGTCAATCCTGGGAAGATCTCTGAGACATTTTAAAAGCCAAGGACTCTCTTCAAATTCAAAGTTCCAAATAGCTTTATCGTGAGCCCAGACAAATCCAGGCAGGCACTGCCAAATGCTTAGCAAGCCATCACAAGTTGCAGATGGAAAATAGTTGGTTACTATTATTAATTTACTGGCTACAAAATCATTCCATTGAGAGAGAGAGAAAGATAAAGTGACAAAATGAGAATCAAATGAGCTTGCCAAAAGTGATTCCATAGAATTTCTTATCATTATTGCAGGGACATCAGAAATTGTTTCTTCAAGTTGGTGGAAGCTCAGAATCATGATATCAGTGATCGTTTCATGACTTCTGCCAACAAGAGACAAAGACAAGCTGAGCCTGGAAGGAACAACGTGAAATAATTCAGAACAAGGTTACTGATTTCAGCTTTTGGATTTTCTGGGATAGAATTCTGCTGCAGACCAGACCAAGCAAAAATTGGTGATCCTATATGATATGTAACTGTTGATATGTATGTATTATTACACAGAATAATATTCATGTTGATGAATGATGTAGAGAAAGAGAAGCAGGAAGTGAATGGCCACAATGGTTTGTTATTGATGTGTTTTATCTAGTTTTGAATGCATGTATGTTTTAGCTATAAGCATTTTGGGTATATATCTTCAGACAAAAAGGCTATGAATAAATGTGAAATGGAAGATGGAGCCAGATCTACAACTAATGGGGAATCCTGAACTTATTGCCAGTCCTGAAATGGATATACTCAAAGAATCTGCTCAAGACATTGGAAGCTCAGCCTTTTCTTTATAAATGCATTAACTTCCTTGATGGCCTCTTTAAAAAAATGCTGACTTAAGTCTTCCCTAGAATAGCACCGGAAGTGAAAAGGATTAGTAAACTTTTTATATGCATTTCAAAGTGCACCTACTTCAACAAAGGCAGCATTACAGTTTTTCAACATGTGGTCTTAGAGTATAAAGAACTGGGATATTTTCAGTAAGGGAGAGTGCACTTAATAACGGCAGCAAGACTGTTGGTGGCGCAATATTGGAAGAAGGAAGACGTGCCTACAATTCAA